AGTATGACTCCAGGAGTTCCCTGCACTCCTCTCTCAACCGCGTCACTAGGGCTAAACCCAGTGGAGATTGAGCAAGAGTGCTTTAGCCACATACACTCATGTCGTGAGTGGAGAATCTGGCCATTGCCAGAACTCCAATATTTACAAACTATAAAAGATCGCGGGGCCACGGCCGTTTTAACCTCCTTGGAGGATTATATGGATGGGTGGTGCTGGATAGAGATTTTGCAAAGGGATTTGGATGATGGGTAAGGTTCTGGTGGAATTTGGAGAATTTTGCTGGAATAAGGTCTAGGACAAATGGGATATTAAGGTCATGGTGTAGGGTTTTGTTGGTTACATAGAAAGGAGCATTGACTATTGTTCGAAGGACTTTTGATTGGAAGGATTGGATGCGTTTGATGTTAGTAAATTTTGCTGTTCCCCACAGTTCAAGTCCGTAAGTCCAGATAGGTTTCAGTATTGTCTTGTAGATCAGTAACTTGTTTTCAATGGAAAGTTTTGATTTTCTGTTTAGTAGCCGGTATAGTTGTCCGTATCGTCGGTTTAGTTCCTGTCTTTTAAGTCTAGTATGAGGGTTCCACGTTAGTCGTCTGTCTAAGAGAAAGCCAAGGTACCGGACTGTGTCCGAGAAAGGAAGCTGAATGGAATTAAAGTGTACTGGTGGACAGGAACTGCGTCGGAGCGTGAAGGTGATGTGTTGGCATTTGGATTCGTTTACTTTAATTCGCCATTTATTACACCAGTGCTCAATCAGGGAGAGGTGTCTTTGAAGGTTTAAGGATGCTATATCAGGATCTGAGTCGGATGATAGAATGGCGGTGTCATCAGCAAAAGTTGCCAGGAAGGTATCGGGATGGACAGGGATATCGGCGGTAAAGAGGATGTAAAGGACGGGACCCAATACGCTACCTTGAGGAACACCTGCCTCAATTGGATAGCAATGCGATAATTCCGCAGCGAACTCGGAAGGTACGATCTGAGAGGTAGGAACGGAGGACAAGGTACAAGGACTGAGGAAGATAGGTTTTCAGCTTGGAAAGAAGCCCGGCGTGCCATACCCGGTCGAAAGCTTGAGCTATGTCCAGAAATGCACCCGAGTAATATTGCTTGCTTTCCAATGCTGCGGAAATATGATCGACCACTCGGAGTCCTTGTTGGACTGTGGAGTGTTGTGAACGGAATCCGAACTGATGTGAAGGAAAATTTTGGGATTCTATAAAGGGTAGGATTCGTTTCAGGAGGATCTTTTCAAAGATTTTTGAGAGAATCGGAAGTAGGCTAATTGGTCTGTAGGACGTTGAGGTGTTGGGAGGTTTGCCTGGTTTCGGAAACAGGATAATAGTGGAATGTTTCCACAAGAGAGGAAAGTGGGTGGTTCTTAGGATGGCATTATATAAGTAGGTGAGAAATATAACAGCTTTAGAAGGAAGTTGTCGAAGGATTTGAGAGGTAAGGAGGTCGTATCCAGGAGATTTACGGAGAGGAAGTTTTTGTAAGTGATGTTTGACCTCAGAAGGATTAACTGCTTTAGGTGGCAAGGAAAGTGGAAAGGCTGATGTTAGGAATTCTTCTACTGTTGTGATATGGGTGAGGTTGGATTCCGGATGAGAGGTAAATGTTCTGGAGAGGTGTCTGGCGAATTCCTCAGCTTTATCTTCATCAGACGCTGCCCAGGAGCCATCGCTTCGACGGAGGGGATGGGAAATATGATGGGATTTTAGGATTTTGTTGGTGATCTTCCATAGGGAATTGTCATGAACAGAGAGGGAAGTAAGGTAGGAGTTGAAGGATTGGGATTTGAAGGTGGCCAATTCCTGCTTTAATTGTTTACTGTAAAAATTATAGGAGCGACGATCGATGGGGTGTCTAGTACGTTGCCATAATAATCTGGCGCGGCGTTTGGTATGGATTAGGTCTATGAGGTGTTGAGGTAACTTATTTTTCTTGGGAGTTCTTGAGGAGTGGTTTGGAGAGGAAGCAGTCCAGATTGCTTGTTGGATAGTGGTGGTGAAAAGGTGTACGGCATTGTCAAGGTCATCTGGGGTTTTTAGGGTTATTCTGAGGTCAATTTTATCGGATAGGATTTGGTGAAAGAGTTTCCAGTTAACTGGGCCTCTGATGAAGGACGGTGGAGAAGACTTAGGAATAGGAGCAAGAGATAATTGGAGTAATAATGGACTATGATCTGAGGATAGTTCGGCAAGACGGGTAAGGGAATGATTGAGGGGACCTAAGCCACTGTGGATGAAAAAATCAAGGATATCGGGATTGCGGTTAGGATCTGTGGGCCAGTAGGTAGGTGACTTAGGAGGAAGGATACTGAACCGTTGGGAATTGAGTGCAGATAACAATGTTCTGCCACGAGAGTTCGTTGTTCTAGAACCCCATTGATGGTGTTTGGCGTTTAAATCTCCACCCAGGATGAAATTATGACCTAAGGAGTTGAGGAGAGAACTGAACTGGACTTTGGATATGGATCTGTTAGGAGGGCAATATGCTGATGCAAGGGTGACTGGAAAGGAGAAGGTTTTGATTACAATAGCAGTTGACTGTAGGAAATCTTGAGTAGGTAATGGGAGTAAGTGATGGGAGAGGGATTGGTGTACGATGACAGCAGTACCGGCATGTGCTCTGCCGTCAGGATGGTCAGTACGGTATGTTAAATACTGTGGGATTTTCAAATGCTGTTTTATGGTCAGTCGAGTTTCTGTAATAAGGGCTACGTCAATGTTCTTGTCTTGTAGTAAAGCTGTTAGTTCGTCAACGTGATTTCTAACACCATTCGCATTCCAAAGGAGAATGGATATGGGTTTTGGGATGTGAGTCATTAAGGATTTTTTAAAGGAGGGATGAGGTGAGGTACGAGATTTGTAAGGAGTGATATGAGTGGAGTAACTAGGGATTTGAAATCGGTGAGGAAAGATGCTAACAAACTGGTGAGATCTGTTGCATTTGAAGGAGGAGGAATTTGAGGATGTTGATGATTATGTGTGTTAGAATGAACAGAATATTGAGGTTAGGGCTGAGGTAGTTGCTGCTGCAGGGCTTCACATGTATTATTGGGGTTCTTACCTCCAAGTAGTTCTGAGTATGATAAATTATTATTAACTATTCTAGAAGGTTCTCTTCTTGGTCTGGTTGTCTCATCTTGAATCCGGTTCTTCTGGTATCTGGATTTGAGGCTCTTATAGGTTTGGCAGCCTTTGTAGTTGGCCGGGTGTCCCTCCTGGCATAGTGCACACACTGTAGGATCTTGTATTGGATTGGTGCACTCCACAGATTTGTGCTGTTCACCGCATTTCACGCAACGCGGCAGATGGTAACAATAAGTTTTCGTGTGGCGATACGCCTGGCAATTGTGGCACAATTTCCTTCTTGGGGTATGGCTTCTCTATCTTCACGATAGTGTAGTACAATCTCTTGATGTCATATATTTTTTCAATACCAGGTGATGGTTCTAGATCCACGAAAAATAAAGGTAGTGGAACTTTATTACTTACTCCTGGTTGCTCCTTATTCTCCTTCAGAACATTGTTTACCTGACGCACTTCTTCTTCTATCACTTCAGTTGGGGTTGAGGAGTGTAAATTTCTTACCACCACTCGTAGCGATCTCTCCTGTTTCAGCTGGTATGTGTGGAAATTTGCATACGTTTCGGACAGGTACTTCACAATTTTTCGGTAGGTTTCTGCAGTATCTGGTGTTATTTTTGTATCGTTGATCCTATTGAGGCAAGAATAACTGCCGGAGCAGATTTCGTTTAGTTGTGTACACAGTAGTTGAAAATTTTTGATATTTTTTACAAATATCGGAGGAGGCCTTGGTTCCCTAGGTACTGCTGCTGACTCCATTACTTCTCTGTCATTATGAAGCACTTGGAACGGGTTTGGAGTGAAGAAAGGAGATTCTTCAACCATTTCTTGCGAAGAGGTACCTGGTTGAGGCTGAGGTTCTGTACCTGAAGTTTTCACTGTGGTTATTGGAGCAATTTCTCGCAGGCAGCGGCGAGTTCTTTGTTTCACTGGTGAATCACGAGGGGTACTAACGCCGTCTGACCGAGTCCTCTTAGTGGGCACCTTACTGAACATCACTGGCTGACTATGCCGCATATCATAAGAGAAAAAAAAAAATTAAAATTAAAAAAAAAAAAAAAAATTAAAAATTAAAAAAAATGTAGCAAACAGTAAATAACAACTGCTCTAGTGTACACTTCAACTGTATTCAGTAAATAATCAAAGAGATTCCGCTGAAAAATAGGCAAAAACTGAGAGAAGATTTCAGAACACGTCCTTCGCATCAGCTGGAGTATATAATAAGAGGAATAATATGAGTTAATCTATGGGGAACTACTAGTTATGTCTCTAAAGATTTCAATAAAAATGTTATAAATAAAAAATGTTAGGTTTTATATAAAAATCATTGCAATCCCCAAGCATTTAAAACTTAAATATACTTCATACCTTTTGAACATGTGAACATTGTTCATCTATTATGAGTTCCTGTTTTAAGCTATTAAAATTTTAAGAGATAATCGTATTACCTGTTTATTTTTTGGAATGCTCAACATGTAGTCATATGGAAATCTCTCATTTCTTTTAAAAATCTCAACCAGATCAACATCTCCAAAATAAAACATTACATTGATCATACCCACTTATGATGTCATAGCACTAATTATGGAAGATTTGATATTAAAGAAAATTTCTTAAATCAACATAAAATATAAACTGAATGCACTGGTGACTAACTGTACTTAAATTAAATGACTAAAAATTATTTCATTCTAAACAAAATGTTTACATTATCATAGAAGAAAGAACAAAAAAATTACCCGTATTACTGTGTTAGACAACTGTCAATTTGAAGTTATAAATTTTTGTAGAGAAACATTGAATATATTTAATTTATCAATTATAGTTTATAAATATTCATATTAGATAGATATATTGATTATTAGCTAGATATTTCTGGTCGAGGTTTAATTCAATAAATTACAATTCATTTGGAAGGTAATTTTATTTTATTTTTACATATGTGAAGTTAAAATTATTATACTAATGTATAAATTTAATAATTTTATAAATTTGGTACATGTCTCAATGGGTTACTAACAGTATACATGTTATTTACACATCAATTATATACAATGTTTAATAAGGTATATTTCCGGGGAAGAGAGGAGTTAATTAATATTGTTATTTACCCTTATAATTGACAATTATAAACATTACTTATGTATCAAGGTGAATTATACACACATTTGAATAGGAGAATATAAATATAATAATTTTGGGCCTTCTATCTGAGGGATGTAATACTTATAGTTATTTGATCTATTGGAATGTAGTTTATTAGCTATAACCAAATGTTAAAGTTAAAAAAAGTCATAGATACCTAAAATATATTATAATTAATAAATAAATACAATACCTTCCCTTAGCTAGTTGTGGTGGTAAAGTAAAAATGAATGTGTGGCTAACTTGATATGCGAGTCAAGGAACTTGAAAAAGTCTAAAATGGTATATAAGTATATATGTTTATGTGCACACACCCCAGCCACTTTGCTAACCAGTTTCTGATATTAACTGACCAAATTTCAATAAACAACTGAGCTCTAAGTTATCTGCCACTTGAACCTCAGGTAAAGACCCTTTAGTATAAAAACGCACCCTACATCCAGGAAATATAATGGAATTAATAGCATTAATGGTGACTGAAATACGTTTGTAAAGGAACTAATCACTAAAAATATAGGTGTTGAGCCAATGTGCGAATAAGTAAAATATCTGAGGGGTAGACCAAAATACAGAAGGGAGGATTGTGTTGGGTCTAATCCAGGGAGTTTGGGTTTTAACAAGGTTTTCTATAGAGTGATATGTGAGCAGATATCGTTGGCGATATTAGTATAGTATCATTGGGGTTCACTGGGCCTATTAAATCAACTTATATAAGCTAAAAAAGTATTATTAATGGAACCTACATCATATAACAATTGATACATTTGCATATATCAGGTAAAAAAACATTATAGGAGAACTTATACAACATTTAATAATAGTTTTTACAAAAGAATGGTTTAATACAGTCTTATCTTTTCAATAGAACAGAGATTACATGAGGTTGTTTTTTTTTTAATTTTAACATGCCCAGAAAGTGTTACTTTCATTTCTGTCTCTTGATATTATTATATGAAAATTTTGAGAAACCTTGTTTGGTTTAAGGATGGTTTAAATATATAGTAAATTATGTAAGTGATATAATTAATAGGATGTTAAACAATAGAAAGTTTTATGGGAACTTCCAAAAATGGTGTTTCCAAATGTTAAATGAGAAAAAATAAATGCAATATTTTCTTAACATTTTATATTTTATATAAGTAGAAATATAAACTTTACACACATCAAATCTGGCAGTTCTCAAAATGTACAATAGTAATGCAGAAAATGGAATCCAATATTAACTTAATTCGAAGTTACATTTTCTTATCTTGATATTGAGATAAAAAACAAATATAAAATCTATAAAAATATTTATAGATAAGTAAAAAAAAATATATAAACCAGTGAATAAATCATTACAGTATAACCATTGATTATGTATTTAAGATAAATAGAGAACAGAAAACATTCCTGTACTGGCATCCCCAAAAGGAGAAAATTTCAATACTATATTTTTAAATTTAAACAAAAAAATAGCAAATAAATTCTTCAATGAATGATAGAAAACTTGTTACATTAAATCAAATTTTAACAAATTTATAATAAAATGTCAAATATGTTTTCAATTTAATTAAGTATATCAATCAAGGGTGTCATGATGGTGTTCTAATCTAAAAATAATTATGTTTTTTAAAAATTAATTATTTATTTCTGTTATCTGGTAATATGTCAGCCTAGCAAAACTGAATAAGAATCTAGTGTATTAATACAAAAGAAATATTATTAAAAACTGATATAAAATATATTTATAATCTTAAAATAACTGCAACTGAGTTAAGAGTACCATACTTAAATGCAGGAAGACTACATCATAACAATTTAAAATAATCAGAGAAAAATAAACTTTCAAACAGTTACCTAATTACAAAAGATGAACTGCTTGGCAAACAAGCTTAATTTTAATAGTCTGAAAATAAACAGAGGAGATATTACTGATCCTTTATAATGCCAAGACATAACATCAAAGATCCCTTAAAATTGATGTTCAATGTCTTACTAGTACTAATAATTTTGTAACTGTGATGCTCTTTACAATCTTGTTAAATAAAGCTTTGAGGAAAAAAAATGCTGCACCAACAGGAAATAAATCTTACAAAGTGGTACAATAAAAAAAAAAGGCAAATGAGAAATGGTTGTTTAAAGAGAGCTGAGACACATTACTATAGAATAACATTAAAGCTGCAGAGAAAAACCAGAATGACTTCAGGAGAATGGAGAGAAAAATAAAATGGGAAAAGAATTCTACAAGCTTCACAGGAGATAAAAGAGAAAAGTTATCATTGTACAGAGAATAAAATATTGTGAGTGTTCTGTAAAAAAGAGAGAATCCAAAAATTTACAAATTTTGAAGAGAGCATGGTTGGGGAGAGAGAGCAAATTTCTTCTAAAGTAATGTATTTTGAGCCATTTTTACATAAAGGAATCTAAAATGGGAAAGTTCACATATAAAAGGCACAGATTTACCATATTTCCACATTGATGACTATTCATGCCATGAATCTAAAAAGGTTAAAATCTGAAAATAGCAAATTTGTTTATATAGATATTTAGACAGTAAACCATTGTTAAAATAACGTTTATAAATAAACAAAAACAAGTAACTTAATAATACAGATATATGTCCTTTTTTTTATTTTTGAATTGTGTACTTCTCCATGATTTTCTTTGTGTTTGTTAATATAACCTAGGCCTCATTTTGTAATTTAATCAAATAATTTAATTATAAGCTGGATTTCCCTTGTGATTATGAAATTTTCAACTGATAGATCATCCAAAATTGATATCTAATTCTAATTACTAACAATGACATTCCCAAAAATCAATGTTACAAGCCTTGAAGCGCAAACAAGTAAATTATTCCCAACTAAAATAAGCAAGGGTGATAAATTGTAAACTTTAATATTATACAAAACAGTACAGGAAGTATGATCAATGACAAGACTAAAAGAAATATTATAAAATAACATAATACTGATTATCGGCTATTTTATAAGATTGTAAGTGTTATTAAAGGAACGTAAAAAAAAATAATAATTTTCAAGGACCAAAAGAAATTATAACAATATATAAATGTAGCAGGCAAGCAAAATCCAAATAGAATTGACCTTAATTGATCTATTTAAAAAAAAAAAATCTAACAAATCATGGTTTTGAAAAAGTTTACATATCCTTGGAGCCAGTACCAAAAGTGAAAACAAGGAAGTCGATGAAATTACTAAACATAAATTGAGAGGTAATCTAGCTCATTTTAGTAAAATGAAATCATAAAATATCTATTTCACTTTAGAAATTTGAACACTTTCAACTAAGTAGTGAAAAGGCACCAAGAATATTAATACTGAATCAGAATTAAATTTAAAAAAAAAGTTTTGAGGAGATATAGTTATAATCTTAAAACACAACAGCTAGGTGATGCTAATAGAGCAAATGAAAATACAAATAATATCCTTTGATGAATAAAATAGAAATATATGTACAGAGTCATACAAAAGAATCAATGAAAAATAAGAATAAAAGACAACAGAAAGATCTGAAAAGCATGGAAGTCAACTTCAGGAAAGCAATTGAAAAAGCATCTGAGATAGTAGTATCATATTTGTATATACAAAATGTATAGTAAATAACAATGATTTCTAAACAACTTTCAAGTTTGTTGTTTTTGAGCAATTAGTTATGTTATAAAAAATTAATTAAAGGAAATATTTAAATTCCAAAATCACTAGTCATTATGAAATTCCTATAAAAAATTGAATACACATTTAGATAAAATACAAAATATTGTATTAGTCAATAAAGACCAATAGATTACATTTTAGAGACGGTGCACATTAGATAGCCTCTGAGATATATGGAGAAACAGGAAAGCCAGTTCATTTTCTTAATGTGACAATAATTGAAAAACAGTAGGATGTAATGAAAGAATACCTATGAAAAAACTGTTTGTGAGAAGAAAAAAAAAGTGTGCATCACAAAATAAACTGCCCAAAAATAAATAAGGATATTTCTGATTGATTCTTATTTTATTCCTTTTAATTAAAGTATCCTCCTTTTTTTGTTGTTAAGAATTCTCTTATCTGTTAGTAAATATAAAAAGTTAAAAAAAAGTATTCATTATTTTTAACAAATTATTAACTAAAGGATTTAATTATAATGACCCAGGATCAGATTCCTAAGTTGGTCCTAGACAAAAGGATTTATGGGACAAGAAGAGTGGGAAGACCTCGACTGATGGATCAATGGAGTGGCAGCAGATGCCAGGTTCATCTTGGGTATCCGTAATTGGAGAGCAGCGGAAACCAATAGAGAAGACTGGCGGACTAAGCTGCAGGAGGCCTTGACTCTACAGGAGTTGTAGAGATAAGGATGACGATGATTACCACACCAATAGATGACAGGAATATTGTTATTACTTCAAGAAGCATCCCTTTTCTTAGTGTCGAACAGCGCCTAAAGGAAGTGTTGAATGTTCTGCCAAAGCTCATATCAACAGAAACCATTTGCAGTCCTTTGTGTGAAGTTGGTCTACCATTTTATGCCTCTTTAAGATGATCTGCAGCAACAGTGCCTTGCTGGCAACTCTGCAGATTATGGTGTAGCAAGCACCTAAATGAGGATACAAATTAGAATTATTTTTACAGACGAGTTTCGTTTCTGAAGTTACAGTGATAGTAGGCACTGAAGAGTTTACCAAGAACAGGGAATGGGTACACTGTCGCAGTTCATCCTCCCTTCAATGCTGTCTGAAGGTGGGATTGTAATGGTATGGGCCAGCATCTACTCAGGAGCAACAATGTACTCCATACTATGGACAGTTATTTCACTGTAGTTCGTTATATTCAAGAAATTATAGAGGAATACATTAAAACAGACCAATGCTTCTCTTCCATGCTTCCACAGCTCTGCAGGAATCTCAAGCCTATCCTTGGCTTGAATTCTCCCTTATGTTCTTTAAGGATACCGATGAACTTCCTTCTATTTCTCTACCCATACTCCTCTTTCATTTGGAGAAACTTGGCTTTTTCTGCGTCTCGCTTTTTTTTTCTGCACATGTTATTGACTCTTCTCCTCAGGGCTTTATGCCTTTCTACCTTTGCTCTGGTCCTTCTTTGAAGCACTGCTAGTCTGGCCCTGTTTCTTTCCTCTACCATCCTCCTGCATTCCTCATCAAACCATGTGCTTTGGGAATTCCCATGATTTATTAATAGGGTTTCATTAGCTGTCTCTGTTACCACTTTCTTCATCTTGCTCCATCTAGCTTCCACACCTTCGTTTCCATCTATAGCTTCTTGTAGTTTTAAAGCCACTCTTTCTGCATACCTCTTTTTCTCATCAGGGTCTTTCAGTTTCTCCAAGCAATACTTCTTGGTTTTTGCAGTCAGTCCCTTTGGTTGGTTTGCAATCCTTTGTCAGTATTGTATTACGAACAAGTAGTGGTCTGATGAGCAGTCAGCGCCTCAGAAGCTTCGAACATCTGTCACATCTGTAGCATGCCTTTTTTCAATCATGACTTGATCTATTTGGTTCTTAATTAATCCACCAGGGGAAACCCATGTTTCTTTATGAGTACTTTTATGGTCAAAATATGTACTCACAATACTGAACCCTGCAGAGGTAGCAAAGTCAATTGCTTTAAATCCATTTTCATTACTCCCCACGTGCAAGCTATGTGGGCCGATAGTAGGACGAAACATTTTTTCCCTTCCGATTTTTGCATTAAATGTACCATCTGATTTTTGACATCTGGATTTCAGAAGAGGTGCCAAAAGACTGGTCCACTGCATTGATATGCCCAGTTTATAAGAAGGAAGACAAGATGAAGTGTGAAAACTACAGAGGCATTGCATTGCTAAACACAGCATACAAAGTTTTCTCCATTCTGTTGATGAGGATTCTCCAGTACTCTGAGAGAGGTCGGGGAATACCAGAGTGGAATCAGAAGGGGTAGATCTACTATAGACCATATTTTAAGCATAAGGATCATGCTGGAGAAATGCTATGAATATAATATTGATCTTCACCACCTCTTCATAGACTACAAGCAAGCATACAACAGTGTAGACCGAGGCAAGTTGTATCAGGCCATGGCAAAGGTGGGTATAACGGAAAAACTGATGCGATTAGTGCGTGCAACCTTGGAAGGGACACAAGGGAGAGTGAAAATACAAAGTGCAAGGTCCAGTAGCTTCCATATCAACAAAGGATTAAGACAAGGAGATCCCCTATCTCCCATCCTATTGAACATTGTTTTGAAAATAGTGATAAGGGCCATTAGAACAAATCCTGGGGGGACCATCAATAATTGACTGACCCAGCATCTTGCCTTTGCGGATGACGTTGTCATTACTGGTCGTACACGTGCATCCTTGACAGAAGCTTTCGTGGAATGTGAACAGGCCTCAAAAATAGCAGGACTCAACATTAACGAAACCAAAACTTGGGGCCAATATAAATTAAAATAATGACATACAGGCTAAAATAAGGACATGCATGACGGCCGGAAATAGATGTTGCTCGGAAAAGTCCTTAAGTAAAAGGTGTTGCCCTGGCAGTTAAAGAAGGCCGTATATGTCAGCGTTATTAGACCAGTGGTGACATATGGAAGTGAGACATGGGTCCTCACCAGGAAGTCAGAGGAAGCACTGAACGTGTGGGAGAGGAAAGTCCTGAGAAGGATTTTTGGCCCCTTGAGGGAGGGAGATCGGCAGAGGAACAATCAGGAGCTCTGTGATCTATACAAAGCCCCGAATATTGGCAACTACATCAAGACGAGTAGAATTAGGTGGCTGGGACATTTGCAGAGAATGGAGGAGCTGTGTATCCCGAAGAAGCTTCTGGACGGACACCCTGGTGGAGGACGAAGAAGAGGGCGTCCCAGATTGCGGTGGCTGGAGGACATGGAGGAGGACCAGAGGGCACTTGGAGTCTGAAGATGGAGAAGAACGGCTTTGGACAAGGACGAATGGTGAAGAATTGTGAAGGAGGCCAGGGTTCTGCAAGGACCGTAGTGCCATTGAAAGAAAGAGAAGATTAAACCAGGGCCATTATTCGCCCACATTTCCATTTTCTTGATGAAAATACATGACATCATAGGGGAAAAATTGTTCATAAATGTCTTGAAAATCTGGACATTTCACATCTGCCCCTTCCCAAATTATCTCCAGATCTCAATTTCATTGGGCACATGTAAGATGCATTAAAGAGAAGGTTTTTTGTCCGCAATCTGCAGCTTCTTAATCTTCAGCAAATGAGGGCAGTATTACCATATTTATGGGATAAAATGCCTAGCCAAATCAGAGAAAACATTATAGACAGTATACCTAATAGGTGCAGAGAGGTAGAGTGTAACAGAGGATATCACACAAATTATTAAATTTTATAAAATTCTTACAAATTTGCAATCATAAAAACAAGATTATTAAATCTTTAATTTCATTGATTGTTTTTTTTTAACACAGTTCATACAATATCCCAAGGTCAAATACAATCTTATTTGTATTAATTTTCAAAGCATTTTATAATAAAATAAAAAGTCTAGAGGAGAAAAATCATACATAACTAACAATATCCCTATTCAATTTTTAACAGTTTACTTTCAGAATCATTCAGACAATTTTGTGAGTAATATAATATTTGCTATGAATCTAAATTCAATACTTTTGACCTCAACAGTCTTGATAAAATTTGAAACAGGTGTAAAGATTTTTTATTTTATTTTTTAATAAAAATTATTTTAATTTTAAATGAAAAAACTGTACTTCTGAAAGTTTTTTATAATGACTATAAACATAAAAATCAAAAAAAGAATAACAACAATGCAAGAATACACCAGACTGCTGAAATGATTTCACTTCTCTATAAGTATCACTGTATTTGTGATTTAAATAAATGATCACAGATAAAATGAACTAGAGAAAGAATATACATCAATGTTAGTTTAAATATGAAAAAAATTTATGACATTTGAGTAATTAGTTATCTGTCAGAAATTTCAAATACAACTTAATTTGCTGATTGATAGAATAACTGAATTTCAGAAGATAAAATAAATAAAAATAATAGCAAAGGTTTTATAAGTGCTTCTAGAACAAATTAACGATTCACTGTGATCTTAACAAACAGAAAATAAATAATATTAATTTTTTAAATTGTACAATAATATAATTTAATTTATTTACTACAATTGTTTACTTAAATACTACAACAGTAGATTGACAAAAACTTTCAAGTGTAAATATTTGAGTAAATCATTTGAAATTAATGGTTTTCAAAACTTTTAAAAACCAATAACTAGAAGAGAAATACAAAAATATTGTACGGCTCCTGAACTGTGTTGAGTTGCTAAATAACACAGCATACTCATCAATAAATAGATAATATTATTAAAAAAATTTAAGAGAGAGTTAGGTCAGAGCTTGGAATAAATATCAGATATTAATTCTAAATATTATAACTTATAAATTAAATTTGATAATGGTCTAAGATAAAAGAAATATTAAAAGTTGAGGCTGTTTATATAAATATCATTGAAATGTACAAAACTTTAAAACCAAATATATGTTAAAAACTTGGAAGATTAGTAAACTCATCCAGATTTCAAATAGATTAAATTTTTCTATTGAAATAGCCATGGAAAATAAATTTTAAAACATTTGTGTTAGCATCATAATATCGTATTAAAAAAAGAAAAAAAAATTGAAAATTCTTAAATTTAAGGAAGCATTAAAAATTATTCATTGAACAAAATCAACCCACTTTAGAGAAAATAGTTTCAATTCTGGTATAAACATACAATGAAATATGTTTAAAACTGCACTTTGTACAATTTAATAAGTCTCATAATGTAAAGGACTGCTGACTGAAAAACAATTTTCACATAAAAACATCCGGGTTGCAAAATTTGTAGAGTAATATTGATAAAAAATGTATAAATACTAAGTTACCATAAGATATCCAATAAAATTATTATTCCTCCCTCATGTTCAGCAGAGATGCTATTATTTCGATTAATGTCAGATCAAGTAATACCACCCAGCTAATGATACAGGTTTAATCATGATCAACAGTTGAACTTATATAAAAAAGAATAAAATCAAATTGAAACTAGATGAAATTGCAGCTGTCAGCTGTCCTTAGCAACGAAAAGACAAACTATACAAATATTTTTTATAATTGCATAATCAAAAAATAATAAATTAGGCTTATAAAACATTTTATAACAAATTACATTAATAACTATAATTATAAATAAATAAACATTGTTGTAAAAATATATAATCTCCAAATTTCTATTAATCCTATAAAAGACATGATAAATATTGATTTTATTTTAATTTAATCCATTTATCAGAAGTTCCTCAGTTTTATAATAAAAGAAAAAAAGATCTACTTTAATTGAACAAAAGATCATAAATAAAAACTAAACCTGAAAAATAACAACATATTTGATTTATAATAACATTTATTAAAAGAGGTAGGAGGAACAATAACAAAGAGAACATTAAATAATTAGGAATGACATTTCTAAAAAGATAATAACAAAACAAGTTACATACACACAATAATACAGGCATAGTTTACTAAACATATAAATAAGAATTAATAAAAATTGGTGCCACCAAAAATTCTGATAATGCTAAATAAAACCTGTATTACCTCCTTTACAACTAAAGTGAAGAACAATAGAAATAATCTATCACAAAGCTTTTCAATGACTAAAATGAAATGGCCCTCAGGCAGGGACAATTTAGAAACACAAAGTTGATAAATGACCACTAATAAAAAAAAAAATGCACAATTCTTTTCTGAAAAAACAAAAACAAAAAAGCCTCAAACCTCTTTTTCAACATAATTATGGAACTCGTAAATAACAATATAACTTTAATATCTAAGTTTTCAATTAAAATGGCACATAATGACTAGAGTAGAATAATTCTGTTAAAAATATAAATAAATATAGTTCAATTTGACAAGATGATAAATTGAAAACATATAATACTAAATACTATATTTAATGGGATATGATAACATCTGGGGCTGACTTAGTAGATTCTACAGAAGCTGGTCGCAAAGAGCCCAGTTCTGAGAATACTGATTCCCGAGTTTGACATTCTGACTCACGAGTCTCTGGAGAATCAGCACGTGTCTTCCATAAAGCAGGTGAGTCTAATCCCATCTCCCTTGACGCCCTCATCTGTTCCTACATGAGAACACCATACCATCATTTGACAGAAACTATTTTCCTTAAAGTAAAAAAACTGGAAAAAGTATATTTAAATAAATTAAAATTATTAATGCAAATAAATAATAATAATTTTGTAAAACTAATTTCTTGGTCAAGGTTTCGAACTTACCTGACCCACCATAGTTGATTATTTAGTAAAATTTAAAATATAATTATAATTAAATCATATGAAATCAAAATCAAATGTTTTTATACTACAACCAATTAAGAATGCTGAAACATATAACAGAACTAAAAATTAAAATTAATAATATTAATAAAGTAATTAATAATACAAATAAGCTAGAATGATCAGGAGCCAGGCGCTGTGACAAGTTTAAGCCCCTTTCCACCTCATTTAAATATGCGTCATCCTGCCATTTAAAAAAAAAGTGAAGTGTGTAATTTTTTTTTTTCATGATTTACTTCAAGATAGATACTTATGTCAATGGGTAAAAATATCTTCATAAAAATCAGTATAAATAGTGGTAACTGATTATGAATGAATTAAAACCATAAAAATGAGGTATTGGGCCTTGAAACTTAGTTGACATTTTGGTCATTTTCAAACAAATTAACTACTACCACCTGAGTCTAAAATTCGTTCATACTCAAATATTTAAAAGCATTCGTCAACTGTTTGATATTTCATTAAAATAAATTCTTTTTAATTCAGAAATTTTTGGTGGTATTTCATACTAAAAAAATCTGGTGTGGTGCTTGCATGACACAACTTTCACTTACCATCTTTTTTCTAGCAGAAATAAGTATTTTCAGAAAAAGGGGAAGTGAAAGTAAAAATTAGAAACGCTATATTGATTTATATTTCATTGTGGGTATTTTTATTTGTTTAAGTACGCTTACATATACAAATTTTAATATTTATATCACTGTAATCTATACAATATAATATTAAATAATACCAACAAAAACATTTATGAAAACCGCATATATATATGTACATAATATTGTTGAAGTCCGCATTATATTAAGCAAAGGATACAGAAGAATGTTCTAATCTTCGGATGAGCTTGTGTTCCTTTAGTTCCTTCATTAAAACTATTCGCTGTTACGATATCTTATTTCTCCTTTAGGTTATTATCAAATTCTTTCATATTTTTAAAATTTAACTATTTTTTTATATCAAAGATCAATGTGAGATTGTTAATTTTTACAAATATAAAAGTTTGAACGTTGAGTGAAGTGAGTTTTCCTCAAGAGGGCAAAGTCAATATGTCTAGTTCGTCACGGTGGTTTTATAGTCCATTGGCATTCCATAAGAGGATAGATAGGGGCTTTGTGTTCATCGAGGAAAGTTGAATGGTATTTTGGAAAGGAGTCTAGTGAGAAGGGTGATGAGCGATCAGAAGATCCTTTCTGATAATATCTTGAAGATCTATCAGAAAGGATGTAAAAATCGAAAATTGGTTGGTTTGTGGGTGTGAATTGGATTTGGATCATGAGGTTGCGGTGGATGATTTGTGCGACTAGGAATGATGAAAGGGGGGTGTGCATGACGTGAGGTACGAGGAGTTGGATCTAAATTCTGTGGATAAGGGGTCTTCAGATTAGAAACGGGTAGAACTGGATGTGGTCGCTCTGGGGGGAGTTTGACCCTTAAGGGTAGGTGATGAGGAGGAGCATGTAAGCGTGGAGGTTGAGGCTGAGGATTAGAGCATTTAGGCATGGGTTGGGAAGCCTGAGGCGCCTGACGATGAGTCTGCTGTTTCTTAATTGTAGTTGGAAAATGAGAATTTCTGGTGTTCTGTTGTGGTGTTGAGCTGGAAGGTTGTTGTTGGCTGGGTTGACCTGATGATTTTGACAGTTCTGGGAAAATGTCTTTGTTTTCCATTTCAGGTGTTTCGGTGCATTTTCCTGAGCAGATGAAATTAGGCTTTCCATCGCAAAGTTATGAGTTTTTTGCTTGAGGAGATTTTTGTACAGTTCGCAGCCTCTGTAGCTCACAGAGTGAGCCATGTCGCAAAGAGCACATGTTGCAGGTTCTTGCCTTGGTTTCTGGCAAGTGTTAAACGGGTGAGATCCTGCACATTTAACACATCTGGCCTGATGATGGCAGTAAGCCTTTGTGTATCCAAGATTTTGACATTTAGTGCATTGCACTATTATAGGTTTTTGTCTTGGTTCTTCAATGTACAACAGAGTATATCAGTCGTTTCACTTGAAATATTTCAGTATTGTTTTTGGCTGGTTCAAGGTCGACAAAAAATAAGGGTATAGGGGATATTTTTCCCTTGGATGCAGAAGGGATGATATATTTTTGAAGCTGTGTCCTATTTCTTCAAGGCCAGTTTTGATGGCGGCTATAGAGGTAGTTAAATGCAGACCTCTTAAGACAACCCCGTATGCTTTTTCATGTTTAAGTTGATAGCAGTGAAAATCATAATTTTTAGATTTCAGATGATCAACAACTTTTTTTGTAATTTTGTCTGGAATTAGTATTTATTTTTATATCAATAACTATCGAAAAGCAGTGAAAACTTGGCTGATCTATTAAATCTGAAATTTCTTGTCCGAAGGACATAAAATTGTCTATATTTGAGACGAAAATAGGTGGTGGTTCTGGATCAGAAAATTGTTTTTACACCAGATTGTTATTTGATGAGTTGTTGGCTGTAACTGAGTTACTACTTGAAGTAGGTGGTGTGTTTCGTTCTGGTTTTATGGATGTATTGGCATTCATTGATGTATTTGGCGTTGATTTCTTACCTAGAGGTGTTTTTTTTTATTTAGCCAACTTGTTTTTTTTTTAATCAGTGAATTGCCTCCGGTTGGTTATTTATTCTCAGGAGAGCTCAAAATGTGTATTTCTGTTGAAAACAGAGATTCGAAAGAGGTTGTAAAATAACAAACAAAATTATAAGAGTATTAATATATTAAATTGAACTTTATAATTGTTTTATCTCAGGTGTGGGTTACTGACAATCAGATCAAAACACTCAAACTAATATTAACTACACTAAACACTGTTTGATTTTAAAATAAAATCAAGTATGGAATGGCAAGCTAACCTTTTTTCTATATACACTGTTTCTTCCTTTGTGTCACTGAATTCATTTGTCTTCTAACATTTTCCTATGTTCTGCCAAACACACCTTCCAAAATGGTAACACTTTTATCTACTCAACTCAAACTCACTGGGAGAACCTCTCTCTTGTAATTCCAAACAATTAGTGACACTGTCAAACAACAACTTTAAAGATGGTAATACTATTACTGGGTTTTACCCACTGGAGCCAGGATCCCTTCTTCCATTCTCTCTTCACCCCAGCCAAACAACAACTGCTTGCCAAAACGATAATCCTTTGTCCCTTCTCCTCTTTGGAATTTTCTTTTCTGGGGAAACTATAAAGCAGCCATTTTCTTTTCCCAGAACTAGTAGAACTAGATTAGCTTGCTTTTTAACTGTTCAATATTAGTTTATTAAACCTTTTTTACCCACTTCCAATAAAAGTGTACATTACAATATATATATATATGTATATTTATAAATGCAAATAGTATAGACTACATGTATATAGCACTTGAATGAGGTATATGTATTAGATAATTTATTATCAGGTACTTTTGTATTTTTGGGGGAGAAATACAAATGTATATGTAAGGAATACAAATTGGTGTCATTTAATACTATTTCCAATCCTGTAAATTGTAACTGGGAGCTTTCGAGCGAAGCTTGTTAAACATGAGAAGAATATTGATCCGCTATGCCCCAACTGCAACATTCTGGAGACCGCCTATCAGGTGGTCGTCAAATATACTGCCTATGAGGCACTAAGAGCTAAGCTCCTGAGAGAGATGGGGATATATACACTGACAGAAAGCATGTTCCCACACCTAATGAGCAGAGAGAATTACCCACATTAAAGGGAATTTGTATACCGGTGGAAAGATGCAGTAGGCCCTATGAGATTATAAATAAATCTGTTGAAGAGTTTCTGGTTTTATTTATTTACTCTAACCATTAAAGTTTTTTTTTCTTTTTTCTATGGGGTGTATCAATTTTACTGTGAGCCACTGTATACAATGAAGTCATTCAAGGGGGCTCAGAAAGTTGCCTTGTTTCACTTCCTTTTCCATGCCAACCATTCCTGACTTCTGTCCATATATAGATAGCATTTAGGAGCTTTTCAGGAATGTTTTTTGCCCCTTAAGGACTCCCAAATTCCATTTCGAGGCACCACATTGAATGTCACCGTCAGGTCCAAGAATGCCAGATAGACCTTCCTGTCATGTATTTGTCATCACTTTGCTCTTCTTGCAGGATTGGCCCCATCATTTGCCTTAACCAGCTTGCTGAGATAGCAGTATATAATTTGTAGACCATGAGGGAAAGGAAAATAGGTCTGTAGTAGGAGCAATCACTTTGACTTTCTTTCTTGTGAATAGAAATTATTACGTTGTACTCCCATTCCCAAGGAATTCTTTCATCGTCCCAAACCCTTCAGAAGAACTTTTGTAGGGATCCTACTAACTCTGATCCTCCATGTTTAAGGAATTATGGGACTATATTGTCTAGATCTACTGCTTTCTCTGTCTTCATCTTCCCAATAGATTTTTCAACCTCGTCCTCTTCAATCGGTTTATTACCTTGATCCTCCACCTCAGCAACCTAAACAGGATGATCCTCTTCTTCCGGATTGCCCTTAAACTGTCTTGAGAAGTACCTACACCAAGTTTCAAGCACCTCTTTCTCCTATGATACCAACTCTCCTTTTTCCTTCTTTTTATTTCTTATATTTTTGGGCTTCCTGCCTCTGAGAGTCTGAAATTAAATTTGTCAAAAGTTGATAATTTTCTCTTATTTCTTAACAGTATAAAAGAGAGTTTTGTTCTGATTGGACCTTCCCTTGGTTCTCTGTTAATTATATGAACTTGTTTAATATTTCACAGTAGTGAATCCAGGAATTTTCTCGGGGGGCACACCTCTGTACCAGGTGCTTCTCCCACCTCTACCCATTCCCCCCACCACTATTCATCCCACCTACACCACCCTAGAACATAAAACAACAAACTGTTTCTTCACGATTTAAAATTCACAAAACAAAATTTTATGTTTCCAATTCTCCAAAATGAGACTCAATATTAGAAAAATGTTATGAATCTTCAAATATAGATAATTAATATATATATATATCCAATAAAACCTATTTGAAAAATCATTATTGAGGAGCAAACATACTGATATTGGAGGAAAGAATACAATAACTTGTATGACTTATAAATACAACAAACATTGTTTTATTCAGTTTTCTTAGTCTTAAATATCCACAACTTAATACATTAATTATTTTCAAGCGATTTCAAACTTGAAGAATAACAGAACTGTTTACATATAATGAAACTTACAAGTAAAGCATTTCAAAAACTATACAAAACAAAAAAAAATAGTTATCTAAATTGTACAGAACACATTAAAACGAATTACTGCTTTTTAACGACGTGGAGTTACCTGTTGAGCGCCGCTGCCAGACTCAAGGCCTGATACTACTCGGAGTACACGAAGTTCTTCGAGATGCACCGTACGCGATCTAAAAATTTGAATTTAGGCTAAAGAAAATTAAATTTTGGAACACGTAGTTTCCCCCAACAGGGTCCGGCCTGATCAGGGACGTGTAAAAGGTATTCGGGAGGCACCATTACCCAAGAATGCTCGCGAAGTTCGACGTTTTCTAAGTATAGTTAACTATTATTGAAAATTCATTCCAGGAATAGCAGAAATAATTCACCTGTTAACAGAAATATTAAAAAAAGGAAGGAGGTTTCAATTGGGGCCAGAGCTATTATCGAGTATTCAGAAATTTCGTGAGATTCTTACTAATCGTCCGATGTTAGCTTTTCCCGACTTAAAGTCACCACAGAAGCGAGCGAAATTGCTATTGGGGTAGTATTGTCACAGAATTACAAAATAGGAGAAAAACCTATATCATATGCAAGCCGAAAGTTAAGTGCCCATTGGCCCATCCCATTGAAGAGAAAAAACCGCGGGCAGTATGGGAAGGGATTTGGCAATAGTGCACGATTTATGGTGTGCCTGACGAAATTGTGTCAGACTGTGGCCGAGAATTTGACAATGCCTTTATTCAAAATGAATTTAAAACGTGAGACATCACTTGGCTATTAAACACCTCCCATCACATCAAAGGTAGAGGTGCGGTGGAAATATTACATAATACCTTAGGTGAACACCTTAGATTACTTAAACTAGGGAGAAATTTGGATCTATTTGACACTATGCCGCGAGCAGTGATTGCCTACAATACAATACATGCAGCGACGGGTCTGTCTCCAGTAGAAATCGTTTATGGTCAAAGGTGGCGATAGAGGAGATCTCATCACAACCAATAATAATAAATTATGGGAGGCACTATATCAAGCTAGAGTTGAACGACAGACACCATGGAAAAAAATAAAAGAAAAACTAATTCCCGAAAAACAAACTCGCGTAGACCGCGCGAATAATTGCTCCGTGGTTTACAGGAAGTGTCTGTTAACATTAGGAACAACAGTGTACAGGTGGCTGAAAACAGCGAGAAATAAAAACTGCCGCACGCTACGAGGGCCCCTATAAAATTATCACCATCAGGGAGAATAATTTGTTTACCATTCGGGATGTAAAATATCCGTTCAGATCGCGTACGGTGAATCTCGAAGAACTTCGTGTACTCCGAGTAGTATCAGGCCTTGAGTCTGGCAGCGGCGCTCAACAGGTAACTCCACGTCGTTAAAAAGCAGTAATTCGTTTTAATGTGTTCTGTACAATTTAGATAACTATTTTTTTTTTGTTTTGTATAGTTTTTGAAATGCTTTATTTGTAAGTTTCATTATATGTAAACAGTTCTGTTATTCTTCAAGTTTCAGATAAATGCAAATATTTTCTGTTATTTATTTAGATTTAAAATATAGACCAGTTTTCTTTTTGTTTAAAGAATTAGAGTTCCTCCTTACTGGAGGAAGTTAGCATAATATAAGATATGTTTTTGTGTTTTGAGATATATTGACATGTGATCGATTATTGTTATATTCATTATTTTGATAACTTAACCAGAAATAAAGTGATAAAATCTCATTATTAATATTGATTTAATCTTTCTTATACTACTAATCATCTTTAATCTTAATCTTACTCTAATCATCTTAATCTTTTTTATACTAATAACTTATATATATATATATATATATATATATATATATATTTATAAGGAAGGAAGTTAGTCAACTGTTCTACATATCATAGGAGATAAATATTCAGGACGCATTCATTATAAGGTTTTTATTAGTGCCGACGTTTCAACCCGAACATGTGGGTCATCATATTCAACTACCCACTCACTCAGATAGTACACTCACAAATATTCCAGTACTTGAATATCTTCAGTGCTTGAACCACGCCCTGATGATGTCCCACATGTTTGGGTTGAAACGTCGGCACTAACCTTATAATGACTGCGCCCTGAATATTTATCACCTATATTATGTGTGTGTATATATATATATATATATATATATGAGTATGTATGTATATACACATATAAGTTATAGTTAATCCTATCTTGATAATGTGAAAAAGGTCTAATACTATATAGAGAGGTCTAATTACCAGAGATCAAAAATCAGTCTTTTGCAAGAAACCGAGTGTGTTCTTTCACATCTCTTTTTCCTTAATTTAATTATTTCTGATCCGGACCATTAGAAGTGGTGCCGAAACCCAGTACCTTCATAGTCAGAGTTTTTTTCTCTAATTTCTTTTTATATTTTTTGTTTCTTTTTTATGTCACCATAAATAACAAAAGGAAACCGTACTGTGGATTAAACCTATTGGAGCTTGTCCACGGGAGAATGTGTTGTCTCCACTTTTGTGGTGCTTGGTCGTTGACTTCCTGATTGCTAAACTGAACAAGGCGCCTTATTATGCCTTATTCTCAAGGATATGCTGACGATATCGCTCTATTGATAAGGAGAAAATTTCCGGATACAATCTCGGGACTGCTTGTAAATACGATGAAACTGCTGAAAGAATGGTGCCAGGACAATGGGCTTGGCATAAATTCGCAGAAGATAAATCTTTGTATCTTCACTAACAGAAGGAATATCAATATTAGACCACCCTCATTGAATGGGTCACTATTAAATATCTGTAGTGAAGTAAAACATCTTAGGATTACTCTGGATAGTAAATTGAATTGGCTGAGTCATATTGAAAAAATTAGTAGTAAGGTTCTACACTGTTTATGGGTGTGTAAAAGAGTTGTTGGCAAATCGTGGGGATTGAAACCCAGTAAATAATATATATACCCAAAGGCCCTATAGCTATATATGACTGCGATTAGACCCTTAATCCCCTATGGGACTGTGGTGTGGTGGCATAGTCCTGTAACAAACGAGCCTAGAGCATTGCTTGGAAAACTCCAAAGGCTTACGAGCCTTATGACTACTGGAGCTATGAGCACTACTCACACTGCTGCAATGGAAGTTCTCTTGAACTTAACAGCACTGTACATAGAGGTGGAAGCACATGCTCTTAGAACTGCCTATAGAATGGATAAATTGGGACCGAGAAAGAAATCCAGATATTTCAGGGACATGGGATCGTGTTTGATAGGATTTATAGCAATGAGGTGCTCAAGATGAACTCAGACCTTCAAGTTGATAAATGAAATTTTGAAATAATCTTGTTATTATAGGGATTATTAATAATTACTCTCTTGCAATATTACTCCAATAAAAAAGGTTTTAACCATAAATTGGTCCTCCTCATTATAAACATTATTGCAAGATTGAGTTTTAAGGATCAATTAGATTGATGGAGCTCATGGAGAGCTTAATATATGAACTTATAAAATTTTTAACAATGGACTTATAATTTGATGATTAAGAACAATATAAACCTGGATTATACGATGATCCCTGATGAGCTTTGTGAAACAGTTGTAAAGGAAGGCACAACACATTCCAGTGAGAATAAGAAAGAACACTATGAGAATGATAATCATGTGATCTGTATTGAGCATCATAGCCACGACCCCTTCCTTAGCCTGTAACACCAATACAAATGCAATCAATTCCAACATTTATTTATGTCATTGTAAAATCTGTATTAACAAATAATATTCTTGAAGATTAGGATTCTGTTATCAATTACAGTCTCTCTAATTATTATTATTTATTTATTGCATCTCCTACATCTTCAGAAGGTTTTGGTGACCTGCACCATATTCATCTCTATAATATAACATATTATAATCAATAAAATTAACAATTCATGATGTTATATACTTTTTTTAAATTGTCACGGAATCATTATCATTTCATGCCACACCTTTATCCTTTATTTTTCTATTTAAAACCATGAAATATTGGGACAGGTTTCGTTCTTCGTCTTCATATTTAACCTAAAATTATTTTGGTTTAAATTTAGTGATTAATTAAATAAAATGAATAAAATAAAATTTATTTACTGATTTTTCATAATAATTAGAGAGACTGTAATTGGAAACAAAATCCTGATCTTCATAAAATATAACAGTCTAAAAAACCTGTACCACTAACAACTCATGAAGGGTTATAGGTTCAGCACAATGTGAGGAAGTACTGTTACAAGGCCAATGGTTGTGCAGGGAGGTGACAGGCCAATATAACGCTCAACCGCCAGGTTTTCTCTCATAATTAATTATTTAACTAAGAGTACCCCCTTTATAGAGGCTGGGTTTGACCCTGGGAGGTTCTTCCGGCCCCAGGATCGACCCATGGCTGATGAAAAATTACTAGTCATCAACCGGGTTTAAACCTGGGACCTTGAGCTCTGGAAGTCAGTGCTCATCTACTCAGCTACCCTGCTTCCTGTATAAACAGTCTAACATTACCTAATAATAGTAATATCTTTTTAACAACTTAAAAATCTGTTAAAACTAGGTCAAAGCGAGATATGACTGTATTTAAAAATACAGTCATATCTCGCTTTGACCTAAATTAGTAAGAATTTTTTTTAGATTTTTATACAAAATATAAGTTAAATGTACATATAATCAATTGCATACATATTTAAACATAATATTTTATTAGGGGTTGTTAGGGGTTATTAGTCATAAATGATGACAACCGGAAGTGATAGCATTTCGCTGGTAGACATATATTAATCAAAAACCAACCTTTTTTCTTCATAATTTTATTAATTTGATAATGGATAAAATCTTTTCAAGATAAAATTAGTCCACCCAGGAACCAAAATAAAAGTTTGCAAACCGGATCTAGTCGGGTTTAACTGGCTGAAGTAGGTAAGTCAAAAACCAACCTCTTTCATTTATAATTTTACTAATTTGATGATGGATCAAACCTTTTCTTCTAATTAAAACTAGCATTCCCATAAATAAAAAAAAGGATGAAATTTGCCAACTGGAAGTGCCCGCCTTTCGCTGGCAATGATTGTTTGTGTATCGCAGACGCGAGTAAAAAATTCACACTTTTGCTTCAAAACTCGACCCAGTTGAAGATAAATGGAACCTCATATTTCTCAAAAGCTTTCCTATTCTGCATTGATTTCAGATCCTTGTAGTTAGTAGACAGCCCCCTGTATTTACTCCTTTATGTGACATTGTGTAAGGGAATGAGAAGGAATATATAACATATAGGAATGTGAGGTTTCACTGTGAATTTTACTCAATTATGCAGTGGACAAATTATTTATGGAAAAGTCTCATATCGATAAACAATCGATGAAGAAGGATGCTGGAAAAAGGTCAGAGCAGGTAGCGAGCAACAGCTGGCAGAAGGACACCGAGAAGGGCACTCGAGAGCTAGACACGAAGACGAGAAGACGTCATCTGGGAAGAGAGGCTTACTACATTGAAGACTAAAAATATCAAGCCTACAGTTATAAGACTTTTATACATTCATTTATTACAGTTGTAAAATAAATTGTTTTTTTTTTTAATAGAAAAATAACTTTATTCTGGGATACAATCCCTTGAGAATAATAAAATAGAACAAAATTAATATATTACATCTGGCCAAAATAAAATCAATCGAAAAAAAGAAATAATGTAAAAAAAATATAAGGTAAAAATTCTATATACAAAACAAACTAAACTATATACAAAACCATTAATACCATGATAAGACACTTAAAGCTGTTTGCTCTTATAGACCAGTATACACTTTTACGAAAAAAATAAAGAATTAAAAAATAAAAATGTATCAAATTCTCTATTAAAATCAGCTCGAATGGTTAGCAACTATCTGACTGTTTTTGGGATAGGAATTGGAATAGGAGGGTTTTGAATGTGGATATGGATGGGGAATGTCGAATTTTGATAGGGAGGGAATTCCAGAAATTGACAGAGCGAACAATAAAGGAATTTTGGAATGAGGTAGATCTGTGAGAATGCATGTAAAGGTTAGAAGGTCGAGATCTTGTGGACAGGGAATGAACTGAGGATTTGAACTGGAGAATGTTGTAGGCGTAAGAAGGACGATGGTTGTTTATGATTTGGTAGAGGAACGTACCTAGGAAATATTGTCTTCGGAAGGAGGGAAAAAGCCACTTTAACTCAGCGTAGTGGTGAGAAACATGGGAGTATCTTGGGGCCCCGATCACAAATCTTACGCAGCTGTTCATTAGTCTTTTCAGTCTATCACGGAGCTCCACAGAGAGGCCATCATACACCACACAGCTATAGTCAAAGTGGGAGAAAATGAGAGAGGAAACTAGGAGTCTACCCGTATGTTGAGGTAGAAGATGGCGGATTATTATTTAACAGAACTGTATAATTGTTCTATTATACAGGAGTGAAAAGTCATTTTATTTAGTTGTCCTATATGCCTCACAACTGAAGAATAACAAACCAGGTGAGTCAATTCATTTAAAGTGTATTTACTAAGTCCCACATTTCAAATATATATTCTTATTGTTTCTTCTCACTCAATGTCACAAAAGGTATTAGATTCCCGAATTCCCAACAACAGTTAAACACCCTCAAAAAAGTCTATATCCAGTGCATGGGATTTGTTTTAATATTTACGAGTGTAAATAACCTAGTTCCCCGATAAAAGTTAAGAGGAAGGAATATTCGCTATGCCCGCCCAAAAAGAATAATTAAAATTAACCTTTAACATGTTATTTACATCCTCTCAATCAGAGGACCAGAATAACTTTCCTATATCAAATAATATTAGGCGAATGTTCATCTTTAGGTGTCATAAGAACAAATTTCTTCAAAAATTCAAAATCAAATTCATCAAGGCATACTATAAAACGCAAAAAAAGAAACCTTCCCAGATCGAAACTTGTTATATCCAAATAGTCAAGGCCATTATGAGATGAAAGGGTTTAATTACTTCTGTGAATGTGCATTAAAATACTTGAACATAGCGAGAAAATTAAATAGTCCCAATAAAACAGGACGATTCATTCAATATTAGACAATGAGCAAAAATATAAATTTGGGAACACCTTTAGTTCAGTCAATAAAGGAGTTATAGAGTGCGCGAGCAGAGGCCTAAGCGATGCTTTCAGAAAACTGTTCAAGGTGCTTATGATATGAATATATCAAAAGTCTTGACGTCTAGGTGGTGAGCCGGGGGAGGGAAGGGAGAGGTAGGGCGGGAGGAGGAATGTCGTATAAGACATTCATCAGAAAACGAAATTCAATTAAATGAAGTTGTAGAGACTTGAATTAGCTATTAGAATATATATACATATGCAAATTAATCTTCAACTAGTCTATAGTTACAGCAATTTTAAAACTTTTCGTAAAATGTTGAAATTTTCAGAAAAAGTTGTTTTTATCATATTCTTGGCCCACAACTTTGATTTTCAATATTAGTTTGAATAAATTGACTTTACTAGTATTTTTATTGCCCAAACCAATTATTTTTTCATGTTTTATTATTCTCTGAATATTCAGCTTTAATAAAATTCCAATTATGACAAAATTAAACCAAATTCGGTCAGTGAATCTCAGTGATCGAAAAACTAACCCAAGTCAAAGTTGTCAATCCGCCATGTTGGACGCCATTTTATGACAGTGTTGTAGTAGACATCCCCTGGTATTTACTCCTTTATGTGACATTGGGTGAGGGAATAAGAAGGAATATATAATATATAGGAATGTGAGGTTGGAGGCTTTAATGGAGACAGCATCCTGTCCCAATATCCCTAATACACCAGTTCCTAGCAATCGTTTGTTCACGTTGTGGCTGCCCGTGACAACAGAGGAGGTTGAGTCCAACACTATGGACAGGAATTCATCAGCAGGACCTGACAGCATCACGGTTCAACAGTGGGAGTCCTTGTCGCCATCATACAGATCCATATTTTTCAACTTATATTTGGCCAAATCTCCTGATTTTCCTATCCTGACCTCTGCATGTACAATATTGATTCCAAAATCGGAAAACCCTAGTGAACCAAACGATTACATACCCATTACAGTAGCGTCTGTCCCATTACGACAGTTACACAAGATTCTGGCTGCAAGATTTAACAAAATGGAGCTTTTCCATACAAATCAGGGTGCATTCATTGCCGCTGATGGTACCGCAGAAAACGTTTTCACATTGCAGGCTCTGATGGACGATTCAAACAAAAAAAAGAAAGACTTATATATAGCTTTCATTGACATAGCTAAGGCGTTTGACACTTTTACCCATAATGCGTTGAACCAAGTCAGTGAATAGAAATGAGACTGATGACATGTCGGTGACAAATGATCAGGTGGATATGACAAAAATAAAAAATTTTATTATGAGTAGACGCATGCAATTCGCATAAGTGAAAAGGACAGGTACATGATTGGAATTAGACTTGAAAATGGCTCAACGAGCCGAAACGTCGTGATTAAGTTGTCAAAATTTTGAAAATTGGTGTAAAATTGGCTGATAATAAATAAACTTGAAAATACTAATCTTAGGGGTCTGGGAATCATGGAGGGATGGGCATATCTTTTTTTTCTTTCTTTTTTTTTTTTTTTTTTGTTCTTCCCTACCTCGCCTTTTAGGCTATACGGGATTTTCCCAGGCCGGGGGGTGAGGGCGGGGAATTTAAAATCCCCTCCGGCATCGGGATGCGAACTCGTACTTTTTATATCATCTCAAATCTCTGTTATCCGGTTGCCAGGCAACTAGCGGTGCTGTTACACACGCTTTAGCCTATTCGGCCACCCCGCCCCCTTAGTGGGATGGGCATATCTGGGAGAAAAATTCAAAGCCAATTATTGGGATTCTATCACTATAGCAAACGATTTTTCGCCCGCTTTGCAAAGGATTAAGGAAGCCCCATTGAAGCCCCAACAAAGACTGATTACTTTGCGAACGTACCTCATTCCAAGGTTTATCCAAGTGCTCACCTTAAGTAAGAGTAAGGTTTCTGAATCTACGAAGAATGGAATTTTCTGGATGCCTAGCTGTGAGAGCTGCTTTTGGATTCTTCTACGTAGCTCAATTGATAGGAAAAATGTCTGTCCACCTAACAAAGAAAGGCATAAATCCTGAAAACGTCTGCAATCAAGAGTGGAAGCAATTTTGGGCCATGAAACTTAATGAGAGTGTCGATGGGAAAGCTCTTAGAGAGGCCGGTCTCTGTAGCCCTTCAAAGCACTGACTTTCGGACTACGCATCAGTAGCTAAAGGACGGGATTTCATTCAAAATGTGAAGACCCACATAAATGCGTTACCAACGAGAGTTAGAACGTCCCGAGGAAGAAGAGCCTACATGGAGACCCGATGCCGAGGAGGATGCTCTACCAACAGGACTGCAAGTCATGTCATCTAGACATGCTACCTAACCCATGGCAGATGAGTGAAACGACACGATGCTGTCGTAAATTTGTTAGAGGAAGCCCTCTGCAAGAAAGGTTATGAGGTAGAAAAAGAAAAAAACGTGCGTAGGTAGCAAAAAAAAAACTGTAGACTGGTGGAGATTAATTTGCATATGTATATATATTCTGATAGGAAATTTAAGTCTACAACTTCTTTTAAATGAATTTCTTTCTCTTAGGAATATATTAGACGATATGAAGGAATGTTTGATGTGAGGCAAAATGATTTTTTTCGAAAAAGTCATCTTTTTCCGAGCATGTAGCTTGAAAATGGTTTAGAATTAGGATAAAATCTATTAAATAAAAATTGTAGATAATTTTATAAACTTTAATTCATTATAAGAAAAGTTTCCCCTGTGATGCATCATTTTCGAGATATAAGTGAAAATCCAAAAATTGAAATCTTTCCTCCTCCCCTGTTTATAATTTTTCAATTGTGAGGCATATAGGACAACTAAATAAAAGAACTATCCACTCCTGGATAACAAAACAATTTATTTCAACAACTGTAATAAGTGAATCTAGTAAAGTCTTATAACTGTAGGCTTGTTAATCTTCTTAATATTCAGTGGAGTGGGCTTCTCTTCTACCCTCACGTACTTCCGTCTTCATTTCCATGCCTCAAGTGAAGTCTTTGTACTTCCTTTGTCCTTCCAGCGTCTCTCTCAAGCTGATGCCACCTGCTGTGCACTTTTTCAGGCTTCTTCCTTTCTTTGTTCTGTTGTACTTTTTTTATCAATTGTTTATTTATTTACTCAAGCATTTGTTCACTGCACAATTAAGTCCAATGCATAGTGTAACCCTACATTCCTATATATTCCTTCTCATTCCCTCACTCAATGCCACAGAAAGGAGTAAATACTAGAGGCCATCTACTACAAGCTGTTGGAAAAGAATAATGATTTTAATTTGGAAAAGAGGGTGGGATGGTTAATGGTATCAAAGGCTTTGGAAAAGTCCAGGAGTACGACGAGAGGTAGTTTTTATATCATCTATAGTGGACTGAACATCACTAATGATTTTAATTAGGGCGGATTGGATGGAGTAACCGGTCGAAAACCAGATTGGTAAGGGTCAAGTTGATTGGAATGTTCAAGAGATTGGAAACATAGGATTGCAATACTCTTTTCAGGGCTTTTGATAGGTTAGAAAGGATTGAGATTGGGCGGAAATGTTAGGGGGAAGAAGGGTTAGACTTTTTTTTTAGAGGGCGGACAGTGGCTTTTTCCATGAGGTAGGAATTACTGAGTTTTTAAGGGAGAAATAGATGAAAAGGAGAATGGGGGCGGGATGGCCGAATGGGCTAAAGCGTGTGCACAGCACCGCTAGTTGCCCGGCAACCAGATATCAGATATATGAAGTTTTGAGAGACAAAAATAAGTACGAGTTCGCGTCCCGGTGTCGGAGGGGACGCGCCGCCCTTACCCTCCGGCACATGGTCAATTTCAAAGAGGCATAATTTGATCAATTTGGCGGGAATACCATCTGGACCAATAGAATTAGAATGTGATTTCATCACAGCAGATATGAGGTCTATGGGTGAAATGCCTGAAAAGTAAAAGTTCTCATAAAAGTATATTTTCATTAGTAATTAGCTTAAGTCTAATATGGAAAGGGATGGCGAATGATAGAGAGACAACTCTATAGTACTTAAAATTTCTATTAGACATTTGATCTTCTCTCTCATGATTTACTCAGATAAAAGTTAATCATTTCGGAATCAACACTAAATTCAAATGAGCCCTTAAAAATTAATACACACAATTCAACTAATACCCAATTGTTCATAAAGGAAAATCAGAAACAGATACGATTTAAAAAAGTGAAAAATACTAGATATATCTAGATCAGAATTAAAAATAATTAAAATCATTCTTGAGCGCTACTAATACTAATGAGATACCTTTTTTTTTATTACCTATGACATTCTTGGTCATCATAGAACAACGGTTTAATATTCTCCTTAACTTATAAATAAAATTAGATATTTACTGTAATATGTTCATCTCTAAAAGTTCTATAATTTACACAGAACTAAATAAGCTATCTGAGTGAAAAATTAAAGATATTTAAACAGTACTGTTAATATTTTAAAAGTATTATGAAAGTTTTCTAACCAGACATCTTCCAGGATCTTCATCAGTTCTAAATCTGCAATTAACTCGACCATTGCATTTTAAATTGCTAGGTATACATGTGGCATCTTCGCAGTCAAATTCATCTTCTTCACAGTCTTAAAAAACAAAAACATTAAAAATAACAATAATTAACTAAGCATCACACAAAAAGAAAAAAAAAAGTAGATATTTAGTAGTCTAAAATAAATAGATCAATGAAATGCATTTACAAAATAGTCCTCATATAATGTCAACATAGAAGAAAGTTTCTTTTATACAGAACAAGCTCTCTTACATCGACCTCACTTGTTCCCTCCCTCCAAGAAATCAAGTCAGCTATTACATAGAGATGGAACTCATAAATAAGTGGGACTATTTCCTCTTTAATTACTGTAATGAATAGTGTTGCAAGTGAACAGCATGATTGATATTTCAGTCATAACTAAGGCCTGGATTTGTATGTAAATTAATATTTTTTTCCAAAAACATGATACTATAGCTTTATGAAACATGTCATTCCAAATCTTTTGAAAACATTTTTGATGCATAATTTGCTATTCAGCCTCAATTTGATTTTTTCTATTATTATTATGCCCAAAAGAAATATAATGAAGAGAAGAATAGTTGGGGTGTTCAGTCAAAAAGGAAGGCAAAAATAAATGATAATATTTATTTTTTACATATGCCGACGTTTCGACCTGAAGTTCAGGCCTTCATCAGGGCTAAGAAAATAACCAGATAACAAGATATGAGAAACATAAGTAATGATGGTAAAAAAGATAATAAAAAATAAATTAAAAAATTAGAAAAATAAAATAGATAAATATAAAGTAAAATGAAATTGTTTTAGAATAATGACTAAGAACTAAGAGATAAATAATAAAAACCGTTACAAAGTGTGGAATGATGAAGTAGGCATAATCATAAAGGGTGACAAAAGTGTTACAATGGGAATCTTAGAATAAAATGTAAAACATAAAAAAGAAATATGAAGTTATATAAGTAATGAAAATAAATAGTAAAATTAAAACATTGAGAATGGAGTAGTTAGATAGAAAATTGAGATATTGTAAAGTCTATCAAGATGTACAATGTATAATATAATGAAGAGTTAGAAACAGAGAAAAGGAATGAAAGGAAGGAGGGAAGAAATACTTTCTTAAGGCAAATTAAATTGTTGCCTTTCTGTCGTTTATTTTTATGATAAAACACTCGTCTGTTTCTCGACAAACTCTGCCAAAAATCCATTGCTCAGGTAGAAATCTCCCTACATGATTTTTTCTTTTAGAAAAAAAGACTCTCGTCTACTTCAATGCCTTTGCCAGGCCCTCCATTTTTTTTACTTGACCTGTACAACATCTTATGGGCACAAACCTCTCTTAAAAATTTGTTCCACGTTATTATAGTTGGCTTGGATAGTTTCAGCTGCTCTTTGCCCCACTGTATGATTGTTAAATTATGGGACCACCCATAAATTAATTTCAAAGCCGTTAAAAACGAAATCCTCGACCCCTCTAACCACGTTCCTTTCCTTATAGAAACATTTTTGTTACAAGTGGTACGGAAGCATCTCCATTTCGTCTTTCTTTCTAACTTCATTTGATGACCTTCTTCACACAATTTCACGTTTGGAGTCCTCCCGGTATTTTGAAATATTCGATAGCAAGGGAATTAACGGCCACTTGGGCTACCCGAACGAGCACCAATTTAACACATGTTCATTGTTAATAAACTGTAACTCACCAGTGTATCCGTGAACGTATAAATGTTCAACTGATTATAAAGTCACTATTGATAAAATATTACCACAGGGTTTTAACTATTAATCACATAACAATGTAACAATCACAGAGTGACATAAAGTTATACTGCAGTTGCGGCCATTCGGAACAAAAATAAACAATGGAATAACTCACTGCTTACACGAGATAAGAAGTATGTTATGTGATCTAACATTAGATAACAAGGGAGGTTTCGTCCCGCCCGGCTATCTGACAAGTACCTCCCAGATCTTGGGAATTCTCTTTCTGTTTTATACTTCCTGAAACAACTTTTAAAGGGCTTTAAGGAGTTCTTGTCCACCATATTTCAAACATTGTGGTGCAATACCATCCCTTCCTGATGCTTTTCCTGTTTCTAGACTCTAGATTGCATGCTCTATCTCTTCTTCTTATATAACCTCTAGGCTTTCTACAGTAGAAGGCTCTTGTTTTTGGCAGTGATGTGGATGGATTTGTTTCTGAAAATGTTGTTTCCATCTGTTCAATATCTCTTTCTTGTCAGTAAGCACAGATCCATACTACTTATGATATTGCTAAAACTATACTTCAAATGATAAAATAATTTTCCATTCTAAATAAAGTAAAATTAATTGTAATTTGACCAATGATGAATACAGACTTCGAAATACTGAGAACTGTATCTTTTTTTTTGAATGGAAACGTAATACAAAAGTACTTATTGGAAAAAAACCAAGAGGGGGGGAAAGAAAAATGCTTTCTATAGTTTGATTGACTCATCTACAAATATAATAAAATCATGCCGACATTTCAAGAATACTTCTTTTTCTTATCAACAAAATGATTGGGTTCAATAAGTGGGGTATCAACACCATTTGCATCCTGGGATGGGTTAATGTTTGAGGCTTTCATAAAAATGAATTTTTTTTTTTTTAACAGCAGCGTTCTCATCTGAAAAAAATGTATGTAATGTTTTGGCAGCAAAAGTATCATTTAATTAATATAAATCTATTATATACTGATAAAAGTATATTCAAAGATAAATAAAGTAATAGCTTTAGATACCAATATAAAGAATGCAATCACCTGTTGGTTCTGCAGATTTGACTTTGTCTCTGAAAGCAGTGTACATAGCTTCAAAGTTACTTGGAAAGCCTTCAGGTTTTTCTGCCACAAACCTAACCTGCAGAATGTTACCTGGTGATACGACAGTCTCTGCTATAGAACCTACACCATTATAACATTATCAAATGAAATATTCCGAATACAATTCATAATGGTGAAAAATAATAATGTTAGACACCTTATGAACTAAATATTTAGTATTTAGAGGTACCTGAATTTGGAATAGTGAATTTATAATAAAAACAAACATGAACATGAATAAGCAACTCAATCACTATCTCTATAATGCTATTAGATCCTTGACTGATTTACTCACTTTCCACATCCATCAACTCCATGAAAACAAAAATATTTTAAAAAATAGGGAAAAGCTATAAAATGTAGTAGATTGTTTGTTTGAATTCCATTGGTGATGAGGCAGCACTAAATAATTTATTGTTACTTCCAAGATATTATTTCTATGCTTCAAATTTATTACTGAATAATTTACATAATAATTGATTGAAATAATTCATTAAAGTACACATTCACGGTCTTAGGAAATACAAAATTAACACAGTAAAAAATTTAAATAACTATGTAAAAAATTAAACAATCCCAATCCATCAAAACACAGCTAAAAATAAAGTAGTTGGCTCTTTTTTAATACATGGATGCCCACATGAACTCATTAGCAATTAATTTAAGCAAACACAGACACTATTATTATCACAAAAACAACCACAACAGTAAATGATAATACAAAATTCATACATATCAACGAAAATAATAATTATTAAGCAATAACATTAAAAAATACTTGGTTCATAGAGATGCCACTATTTGAAATGTTCAGCAATTTTGATTAAGATTTAATTATCTCAAAAACTTAAGAATAATATGAACATACCCAAATAGATGAGAAACAAATAAAAGAATTAAAATAAAACTGTACATACTAACCACAAAAGTTACTGAGACGGTGATCAGGTTGGGTGGAACCAGGAAAGACATCAATGAAATTGGAAGTACATTCATTAGGAACGGCCAACTGGAACTTCAGAAACTGCAACTGAATCTAAAACAAAAATAATAACAGTTAGTTGAGCATAGATGAAATCAAGGAAATGATTAAAATAATCTTCAGGCTGGGACACCTAGTCTACTAAGAATAATAAAAAAGTACAGTTTAAGCAACACTTGTCTGGCTGAAGTATAAATATGCGATTAAATTAAAAAGTAAATAAATAGAAATACATATTTGCAACATGGGGCCAAACGTCATGCATCAATACGAAATCATCACCAATGTAATGGGGGCTATGTAATTTTTTGGGATGTTGGATATGTACCTCGATGCAATACGGTTCCTTCTCAGGAACCTATGGAGATATTCTTCCCCTTCAAAGTAATACTACCCCACACTATTTCTGAGCATGCTTAATCTGGTAATCTGAAGTGAAAAATGAAAATCTGGATTCATCTGAAAACATTATTGGTGCCCATTCCTTTTCTATCCAAGCTATGTATTCCTGAGAAAACAATTTTTTTCTAATGCCAAAGTTGTTGGTCATTCAACCATCGAACATCTTGCTGCCCTGAATAAATTAGATTTTTTCAGATATTCATTACGAACATCTTATTTCCTATGTCCTTCAAAGCAGAACATTTGTCTAGGTGGTCTCCACCCATTCTCCTTTGGTTACATATTACACACCTAGAATTCTCAGCAACACCTAACTTGTGGAGATGACTCTGCAGATAGTCGTGGCCAGTTGTCTGGTGGAAACAAGCTACTGCATCTTTCATTGGTAGGTCAGCTGGGATCGAGATTTTTATCAAACACTTATAACGTTTCAGTGACGTGGTTAGATTTATTAAGATTCGTCGACTCCGGTGGACAGGCTATGTGGCTGGGATGCCTGATAACCAAATTTAAAAAAAATGGAAAAATTATTTGAAAGAAGACTACTTGGAAGACTCAAACTGTGTTGGCTGATGAGGTAGCAGCTCACAAAAATGACTGATGTTACAATCTTGCTTGCTTGAAACCTTGACCCCATGTGGCCTGTAGTGTCAAAAATGACAATGATGACTTGTAACGTTTCCCTTCCACCTTATCTAATAAATGCCTTACATAAGTCCCAACCTCCACAAAAATTAATAAGCTTATTGCAAATGACAATGAATAATAGCAATGCAAAAGTAATTATTAATGGCAATGTAAGCAATAACTTTCCAATGACAGCTGGGGTTAGGCAAGGGGATGCTTTGTTTGCTACATTATTTAATATTGCACTTAATATTGTTTTGAAAAAAATGGATTCACCTGGTTGCATACTTATATGTATAAACAATATTTATTGAGTCAATCATGGATAATAATAAAACAACAAGTTATGGTTTAACAAGTTGTACAGTAACACCACCATTACCTTTTACTACTGAATCCTTCGATTGGAGTGGAGAAAACAATGTTCTCAATAAAGTTTTTCTTTTAACCTATCACTTAAATATTCAGAAAATAATTTGAACCAAGAATTTCACTAGATTTTATTTAGGTAGGAGTATAATAATAACAAAAATTATAACTTTAGAAGTATAATTAATAATATTTTCTATCAGTTAAATAGAAGTTGTAGTGAGTGTAAAGGGAAGTTTTGGGAATAAGGAAAGCCCTTTATCTTTCTAATTTAATAATAAATGTTTTATTTATTTATTTTAAATGATATTTACAACTGTATAAAAATAAATACATCTAGTGAATTTGCACATTGGTATAAAGACATGGAACACATGTTGAGAAACTACCCATTGGTAGCACTCTAATAATATGTCTATATTAGAAGATCACGTGGCCATCTTCTTTTCAGACGCCTCGGAGGGTTATCAGGAATCGAATAGGAAGCAAGGTTAGAGACAAGAGGGTTAGGATGGTTATGAAGTTTATTATGGAAGGACAGATATCTGGATTGGGCCAAATCTGATACATAAGGAACATTAAGGTCATTATGGATAATTATAATAAATGTAATGCCCATCAGGCACTGCACTATTAGGAAATTTTTGTTCTTCAGTTCGTAATATTTTGCTAATTTTTTTTAAAAAATGGAAGCTCAAATTGATATGAGATAATCAACAATAGACTGACAGTAAATGTAAATGATCCTACACTAATAGAAAATTAAACAAAATGAGACCAACAAGATATATAAAAAAGACCTGTCTGATAAAAATGTAAACAAAAATGGACAAACAGAAAGCATGACACTAAGTCATATAAATTTTCATTGCTTGTATTTCTTTCAGGAAGCATTTGCAGACATGTTTTTACTATACTTTTTTATGCTAAATAAGTAATATGGCCTTAAAGTCCCTTCAAGTTATCAGAGACTATAAATCATCATTTATATATAGTATGTGCAATGTTAAAAAAAATCTGGTTTGGTACGCGCATCACACAAATTTCACTTACCACCCTCTTATTAGCAGAAATAAGTATCTTCAGAAAAAGGGGAAATGAAAGTAAAAATTATAGACACTATATTTATTTATATTTCATAGTGGGTATTTTTATTTGTGTAAGAACCCTTATATATACAAATTTTAATATTTATATCGGTGTAATCTATACAATAAAATATTAAATAATACCAACAATAGCATTAATGAAAACTGCATATGTATATTTATATAATATTATCGGAGTCCATATTATATAAAGCTCATGTTACGTATGGCAGCCTGTTATAATCTTTCAGGGGAGCTCGGGTGCGATCGTATTCCTTTGGTTCCTCAGTTACAACTATTCTGTGTTACGATTTCTTATTTCTTCTTTAGTTAATTATCAAATTCTTTCATATGTTATATTTAACTATCTTTTATATTAGAGATTAATGTGAAATGGTCAATTGTTTCACATAAAAAAAATTAAAGGTATTTTAGGGGAAGCTAATATTGAAAATTAGCCATTTAGGCCTAGTTGGAGAACATCAATTAGAATTAAAACTAAATTTTATTTAAAACTGATTAATTTTACACTGATGTAATGAATTTAATCAAAATCGTTAGAGCCGTTTTCAAGAAAATCATAAAAATATGTTTAGTCCCTGAGATAAAGTGCCACTTCCGGTTATTTTGACAAAAAAGTTGCTGTAACATCGCTAGCATATAAAAACCTTAAATATGCAATTTCACTTTCGTACGACTTTTCATTTTTGAGCTAGAGAATTAACACACAAAGACCATTCTGGGGGACATGGTTATTTGGACTCAGGTGGCATCAAAACATGTATTTCTGTTGAAAATTGAGATTCAAAAATTTTCACGATCGCAATACTTTACTATATATTTCATATATAGATAAGTGAAAGTAAAAAAAAGGCAAATAACTCTAATGATTACAACTTAGGCAACATTCAACATTATTTTGGCAGTGGACTGTATTTTTATTGAATGTGGTAGGTTATATGATTTATGAAAAGCAACTCACCCTTTACATAACTGTTACTTGGCCTTTGAAGGATGAAGAGCGCCCTCCCCCAGTCTTAGGTATTCTGGTCCTCTCTACTGAAGTGAGTAGAGAGAGGATCTTAGCTTAAGCCACTTAATTTTTTCAGATCTCTATTTTTACAACTCACCGTAAGGCTGCGTTCGGGTACAAAATTATATTCACAAAACAACTACATACTGGGACTGATCTGAGAACCAATGCAGGACACACTTAGATAGAAGATTTTCTAACATCTTATACACATACAGGGCAGATAGGATTCCGCGACTTCCATACAGTATTGAGGAAAGCACGGTGAACTTGGCTTTTGCATTCCGGTGAATAAGGAACTCTGGTAATATGTCTGAGAAAACCTAAGATAAACTGCCTGATATTCTAGGGTGAACTTTGTAAGCTGTGGACCTTTGATTGGCAAAGTATTTCAGCAAGCCACTTCCATACTGTATCCATCATGATGTTCACATTTCAGGCAATTTTAATGTGCTACATGGTTTCTGCTACTGCCTGGAAGTGGTTCAGAAGGGTGAGTCTTTGGCTGTCGATATGAGTAGGTTAATGGCACCTCTTGTTGACTGGCCTTTGCGACCTTCAAACTGATTTCAAGATAACTAGTTAATCACACCTTTTAGGCTCCGCAGCATAACTTTCCTTATTATGTTAAGGAGGCATATTGGGCAGTATGACTTAGTAGAAACTTCTTTTATCTTTTATCTTTCAGCCACCATTTCAGCCTCTTTCCAAATAGAAGGGAAGAAGCCTTCAGTCAAACATATGTTATAGAAGCTGGTTAGAGGGCCAGTTAGTGCTACTTTAGTGTTTCTTAAAACATCACCTTTAATCATGTATGGTCCCGGTGTTTTCCCTGGTTGCAGTTTGTAGCTTCTACATCTTGATCTTCCCACAGGAGTGTATCTTCAGTTTGCAAAAGTACACCCATATCACTCCTTTCCTGTCTTTGGTTCTCAGAATCTGCAGCTGGGTCATCCTTAGGGAAGGATTTCGCCATTATCACATCAACAGGTGTTCAAACTGGTGTTCTAGCCACATCGCCGTTGTGCTAAAAAAAAACAAAAGAATTCTTGTTCCAGGTTTTATCAAGAGCTCTCCTGTATGCAAATCCCCATCGGCTTTTACATTGTTCAAGGTATTGATGCCACGTGTCCTTCTTCACTTTCCTGATTGCCACCTGGAAACTCTTATTCAGCTCATAGGATGCCTTCTTTAACACAAGAATTCTTTTCTCTTAGGAAGCGGCACCTAGCTCTAAGTTTTCCATAAATTTTCTGTAAGTTTTCCATAAATATATGGCCCAGCCACAAAAGAACTGGTCCCTGGCCCATCTCCTCCGATCTCATATACATGGTCTAAGTTTCATTAATGTGTAGCCTTTGCTAAAAGTTTCTTTGCTGCATCTTCTATGACCAAGAACAACTCTCTTAATGCACGTTCCGATCTGGCAGCAATATCAAAGTCGTCAGCGTACCCAAGAAGCTGGTACTGTTAAGAATGATTGCATGGAATTGGATTCTGGACATATGCACTGCTTTCTCTGCAGAAAAGTTAAAAAGAAGACAGGCTAGAGCATCCCCCAGTCTAACAAACACCGCAGTTAGTATGAAAGTCTTCCGAGAAGTCACTTCCTATTCATACTGCGAGGGTACAACTGGTAGGTTTAGATAAAATAAGTTACTTATGCAATATCATAATAAATCCAATAATTTATTGTAGGTTCAAATTATAGAAAAAAACATGGGGATAAATTTTCAATAACAACTAATTATTAAATTGACCTTTACCTTCCAATCCTTTTTCACTTCAATTATCCACATGCATTCTAATTTAGTATTATACATTGTAGCATGATTGACAAACTGAGAATCAATATCGCTGCGATTCAGAAACCCCTGATCAGGATATGACAATCTATGAATACACACAGGAAGATCTGGAATCTCTGTCTCTATAAATCAATAAAATAAAATTACATGTCAAATATGAATGGAATGGTGTACGAAATAAAGATATTTACTAAAGATAATATTAATTATTATTATCGACACAATTGCTAAAACTTAAATATTTTAACAGATAGATAAAATAAAGTAGGATAAAATCTGAAAAACATTTTTGTTTAAGTGATCCCTTTATTTTATTTTATTTATAAAAATTAAAATAATTGTCACTGAAAATCACCTTTGTTTTAGATTATTTAATTTGCTTAATATTTTTAATGATAGTGGATTGTTGGTTGACTGTAGTGAATAATTGAAGAGAAGTTGGTTGAGATGTTCAGTAAAAACAAAAATAAATGAAAAATAAATAAATGATATTTATTTTTATATTTGCCGATGTTTCAGCCCTAAGTTCAGGCCATCATCAGGACTAAGAAAATCTCATATTGTTATCTAGTCTTTTCTTAACCCTGATGAAGGCCTAAACACCGACAAATATAAAAATAAATATCATTTATTTATTTTTAACTTTCTTTTTTTTTTTTTTTTTTTTTGAACAATGAACTTCTCTTTTTAATCGATTGAGAGAACATATATTGTGTCCCTACCTGAATTTTAATAACCTCAAATCATATGTTTTATATTTATATGTATTTTGTTTTTCTGCTCAATGTGTTGATTACGAATACAATTACAAAATTTTCAGTTGAAAAAAATGTATAGCTTTATTAGTTTGGGCGACCAGGAAAATCAAAATTCAATATTTTCAAGTGCAGATCATCTACATATATATAGTAAGTATATCCAGGTAAAGTCAATCTTTTCATTGTACAATATTTGTATCAGGTACCTACTTACTCCTAACATATCATCAAACCGAGAAATGAATCCAACAATTCCAAATGCTCTTAGACATTTTCAATAAGCAGTAAAAAAAGCTCAAACAGACATGATTTCCAGTAATCTCTAGTTATCGTATCTAGTCATTCTGGGATCAATCTGGGTCAAGTCAATCTGGGGATGTGCCCTTTCAAACCCAGAATCATCATGCATTCATTACACCCTTTGAAAATTTCAAATCCTCAAAAGAAAATTTCATCATGTACAGAGCGATTGATAAGGTCCATTTATTATAAACTTATTGCTTCTTTGGTTGCACCCAATAATCCCATTGAAAATACAGATGCTGAACTCATTGACACCTTCCAAAAGCACCTGTCACAATTGAAATGTTCTGAGACATAGGTATCTCTCTCTCTATCAGCAGGAGAGTCAAACAATTGCTGATTATACTGCTGATTTGCACCATGACATGAATGACTGTGAATACATATGTCAGAAAGCAGCATGGAAATCGACCATTTTATCAGTGACATGCAAGGCAATTCAATTTAGGAAAAAGTTTTACAATCAGAAAAAGTTACTTTTGAAGATATTGTTGACAAAGCGCTATTTCTCAAGGTATGCGAAATGGGCTGTAGGGAAGGAGTTTTCAAACTGATCTTTAACTGTCAATGTCAATGTCAGGTGAGGAGGACATCAATAAAATTCAACAAACATGTTTAACAATGAGAACTTCTGCCAACTACTCTAGCTCACATTCAAACAACTCTCTTCACAATTCTAAAAATGATCAGAATTCTTGATAGTGGATTAATAATTGACTGTCATAGATATATTGAAGAGAAGTTGGCTGGGGTGTTCAGTCATACAAGTAACAAAGTAAAAATAAATAAATTATATTTATTTTTATTTTTGTCGACGTTTTGGCCCAAGGTTCAGACCTTCATCAGGGTTAATAAAAGACAAGATAGTATAGATATGAGAAACTAGTAGACGGTAAAATTAATAATATGTAGTCTATAATGATATAGTCTAATTACATGTAGTTAGAATAAATTTAACATTAGTAAATATGTGGAAAGGCAAATATGTGATGTATAAATAAGGATATATAAGATGACCATAACAAAGTTAGGAATTTTTGAAATAAACAATAATAAAATAACAGTAACAACATAATGAAACTAACATAGCAAAGAAAAATTAAATAACAAAGAAATTTAATGGAATATTAAGAGATAAAAAATCATAAGTATTAGACATAAAATAAATAGGATGACGTAGATGCTGTAAGCTAATATCTTAGCATGTTAAAAGAAAGTGAGACAAACATATAATAAAAATGAAAATCAGAAAAAAGGAATTACAGTTATATAAAGAAAATAATAGATGTAAATAGAAAAATTTAGGGATGGTAAAATCTATCAAAACATACTGTACATATAGCGGAAAATTGCCAAGTTAAAATTATGTAAATTAAAAAAATAAGATGCAATGAGGAAACATACCGATATAAAAGAAATGCCTGAATATGGAAAAGGAAGTAATGAAAGTAAGGTAAATGAGGAGAATACAAAACTTAAAGATTGATGGGAGACCAACCTGTAGTCAAGAAAGGTTCCCTAAGACAAGAGTAGATGGAAAAGAAACCAGTGGAACTTACTTAGTGCAATCTGTAAAGGTTAACAGAAATACCTGAATTAAAGCACAGAAACGAATATTATGGTTAGAAGTTTAGTATAGATAATATTTTATATGGATACTATATTAATATGTAATTAAATGGGTTTGGGAATAAAATAGTACTGTTTTAGTAATGGAGATTGTACAGAGCAAAGACCATCAATATTAAATAATACTGAAGTATTGACACAATTGACAATTTTGCAAAAAATCTTATTCACTGAAGCCTCTCCTTCTCCAATTCCCAATTTAATGAAACCAATATCCATCGTTTCAAAAACATCCTTTTAGCTAATAATTTCTCTCCCAATATCATCAATTAACATATCAAAGATTACAAAAATCACTCCACCGCAATCTCAACCTCCACTGTTTCTTCACAACCCATTTTTAATTCCAAATACAGATCTCTACCTTATATCCCTAACCTTTCTGACAAAATGAATAAAGTTTTATGATCAAACAACCTGAACTAACGACGACTTATGAGTTCACTTCTTCTTAACATACTAAGACATCTACTTGTAGCAACTACTTCACCCTACTTATTTAATGTCTTAACACTTACAATTTTTTATCTCTTAATATTCCATTACATTGTTTTGTTATTTCATTATTCATTGCTTTGTTAATTTCATTATGTTATAACCCTAATTTTATTATTGTTTATTTTATATGTTCCTAACAATGTTACCTTTATTATTTATTATTTTATATTTCCATAACTTATCAATCATATATTAGCCTTTCCATATATTTATTAATGTTAAGTTTATTCTACCTACATGTTATTAGACTATACCATTTACCTACATATTATTACTTTTATTGCGTACTAATTTCTCATATCTACGTTATCTTGTCTTTTCTTAGCCCTGATGAATGTCTGAATCTTGGGGCGAAACGTCGGCAAAAATAAAAATAGATATAATTTATTTATTTCTAATTTGGTACTTGTACGACTGAACAACCCAACCAACTTCTCTTCAATACCAAAATTCTAGTTCTAAAACAAGATCCAGAATAAATTACCCCTTGAAACTGGCCACAATACCGAAAGTAGAACACTGCAGTATTACTTGGTACATTGAAGGCCCTTAAGGAATTCCCGTGTCAAGGTCGGAGTGCCTGTGCCAAGCCCCTTTCTGTCCTTTGGCTTAGCTCAAACTACAATTTCATCAAATGAAAACATTCGTCTCTCATAAAATAGCGAGATCATGGACAAATGATAAACTTTTTTTTATGTACTAAGTTAATCAGAGTTTTCATAATGTCCATCGATTCAATGTCAATGAAAGAAATTTGAAACTATCCGATCTTAGTAATACCACAATTATACTGATAAAAAAAAATCAAAGGAAATTACCATTTTCCTAGGAGCATTCGTACCAAAAAATTTGATAGAATAACCTAACAAACTTCGACTTTGGTTCACCCCTTCCTTGCCTTTTAGGCTATATGGGGTATTTTCCATAGGTGAATATCAAAATCCAAGTTTTCAACATTGAAAGACTTGTGCATTCACTGCAGTGCTCCAAAAACCAATAAAGTTTTAGAATTTTTTTAATGCTAAACATCCCATTTCTTCTCCCCCTTCCCAGATATACCTGAAACATATTATATTCAATTTTAAACAACTTGAAATTTCATAAAAATTTTTTAGGAAACATTTTTTTTTGAAACGCAATAGGAAGTGAACTATTGACTTTCAGAAGGGGTAAAGTTTTCAAAATTTGGAAATAAACATGCATAACTTTTTGTTTTAACTCATTATCTTTATAATTATATTACTAGGTGACGTAGCTCAAACATGTTTATATAAAATATTAAAATCTATAAGAACACAAAGGTATTTAATTGGAATAATAATAAATACAAAAACTGTGTTAGAATAAAGTTAATTGAAAACAAGAGAGAAAAACAGGAATTGTTTATGACTCATTTAATTAAAATAACTAGACAACAGTACCAAAATATATAAGGATTTTGTCAAACTTCAAAACTTCAATTTATATTTAATGATTTGCAGTTAAGTTGAGAAAAATAAGTTTCCTATAAATGCTATAGTAAATTTAGTACAAAAATTTTGGAGCTATATCACCTAGTGAAATAGATAATTAGATAAAACAAAAAATTATGCAGGTTTTTTGCGAATTTCAAAAATAACCATTTTGAAAGTACAATCATTCGTTTCCTGTTGTGTTTAGGAAAAAACGTTGAGAAATTTTGAGATTTAATATAATAATTTTTTAGCTATATCTTTAAAAAGCAGATATTTAGCATAAACAAAAAAAAAAAAAAAAAAACGAAATTTCAATGGTTTTTGAAGCACTGCAGCGAACCCATAAATCTTTCAATATCGGAAACTTGGATTTTTTAAATTCAAGAAGGCTTTCTTAGCAGAGGGGGGTCGTTTTATTGTTCAGTATGGATTACCTAATGAAATTATATCAGACTCATCGGCACTTAAGGGAGTTGTATT